ACGTCTTATTAACCGAGCTAAGTCGGTCTGTATGGGAGAATCTTGACCTCGGTCGTGTGTACAGACCTCACTGCGTTCGGTCTGTACTCACGGCCTCGGTCAAGATTCTCCCATACAGACCTCAAGCTCGGTTAATAAGAGCTAACTATTACTTTTATTTATTTATGTTCAACGTTTCTTTTGTTGTTGTCAGATGAAGGTCATGGTGTAGTGGCAGAAGTAGGTGGAGCCAATTTGCAAGACGACCTGGGAGCTAACCCTCCATCTTTTGCCGAGGTTAGCAGAGAATTGCAACTCGCATGTCAGTTTAATCAAATTCCGAATATGTAAGTTTTAACTCTTACTGATCAGAATGGTTTTGTCTCATAATCAGGCACTGAGGTCCAAGAAAGGCGTTGACATTCCCAAACGGACGGTAAAGCCCAATCAAACAGGTACGGCCAGAATCAACAAAAGAAAATTTTTGAGTATGATGCAATCAGTTTACTAGTGTGCATCATTGATAACCTTTCTTGTCGTCTTATTTAACAGCGACTGTTGGAATAGTTGCCATTTTAGTCAATCTTCGCAGAATTCGATTCTTGTTATCCAATCAAAAACCTGCCCCAAAAAGAAAGTTACCGTCTTGTCATTTATATGTAAAGCCATCGTGTAACACTTGGCTGAAATTTGTCCCTCAACTGTTGGGAAACAACGGACATTTTCCATTATTTAGGACTGGAGAATGTTGCAAACGCTTAAAAGATACCCTTTCAGCTGTTTTGCGCTTAGTTGAGCTTCTTTTTCAGTACAGTTCTCTTTAAAATTCCTGCTTGTTATGTTATCTAACAACCCCTTGGCTAACTGCGAGTCCAGATATCAGTAGCCTGTTCCAGGCTCTCGGTCAGTGGAGCCGATCGAAAAAGCGGGCGGGCGACGAGCGGGATCAGCGACGGGATCGTGCCCACTGACCGAAAGCCTGGAACAGGCTAAGATATCAGAAGTTGTAACACCTCTTTGTCCTGCCTTTAGTTTCAGCAGTGGTGAGGACGGTTACTTCCGTTGAAAATGAAGACGAGGAGGACTGTGCACCAGTGCCCACTTTCCAGTCGGCCTTCACCGAGGCCCTGGGTTCGGCTGGTTGGACCGGAAATGGTGTCAACCCGGAAGGCCAAGGTATGGTCTTAGAAACACATGCGCGTTGAAACTTTATACTGAACCGTTTTGATTTGCTAGCAGAGTGTAGCAGTGTTAATCCATTTCGTGGTCATTTGTGATTATAGTACCGCATATACCCGAACTCTACTTTTACCGGCTCTCTTACTTGGAACCTCTCTGTCCAGCCACGAGCCCTACCGTTGTACTTTTTCAGTGCAAATGTAATATATTTGCTGTTGTTTTGCGCGTACGCATGAGAGCAATGACAAATCAACTTAGCTTTCAAATGAGAAAGTAATGACAGAAAAGAGGTAGTGTAGTTAAGAGGACTGCCGATGAACAGTCTCAAGTGAAAATGGTGAACTGCAAGAACTTGATTTGAAAAAATGTTGTAGTGTCGTGGAAGTTTACAAACATAAAATAGCAAATCTGAGAGGCAGGTTCTTGTGATCAGTTACTGCTCGGCTTAAGCTGCACCTCGCACAGTGCAAGAAACGAGATCGTATATAAAGACTTTACTCTTTTCCCTATCAAGAGCCCGCCCACGATGTAATACTCATTTCCTCTTCTCTGTATCTATACTTGTTCCCAACAGTGATAGATCTTCTAATTTTTGTGTAGCTTGTACATATCGCTGTAGTTTACATAATTGAGCTTATTCTGGTGAGCTTGAAGATAAAGATTGTAAACGCTTTGCAATTCACTTGTAACTAGTTCGTTATGTTACGTGAGCATCCCTACAAAACAAGTACATATGACTCAGTTTAATAAGTTTGATTTTGCTCGTCGCACCAACAAGCTGTGTGATTGTTTCCTCAGACGCTACAGGAGAGAGGAACAGTGGAAAGAAGCAGAAGAAAAACAAAAAGAAACTTCTGTTTACCACAGGAAGCTTCATGAAGTACTCTTGAAAAAGCAATTTACATTCAAACGGATCAGTATCCATTGTAATCTGTAAGGTAATTTGAACTAGAATTGATTGTATTGGGAAGGACTCTCTGTTTATATAATTAAACATCGCAAGTGTTAGATATTTGTGCATTGTTATAAAGGTGTTGATAACAATAAAGTAATTATTGAAACGGATGATTCGCCTCTTTTGCCTTATTTTTGTTCTCTTCTACCTTTTCCAAAGTTTGTTAGTTCTTGTTTCAAATTTAAAACTAGTCTATTTGGAGTCTGATCGTAAATGTTATAAAATTGATCGCAAAAACACGAAATAAAAAATTTCAAAAACTGAATTCTTTTTTCAGTGTCATTTGCATAATTTACGCCGCCAGTCCTCGCGGATGCAACTGAATATAACGGATATGCTCGTTGACGGAGAAGTGGTCTCGGATAAAAGGTGTAGCTTCCAGGGAAAGACGTTCTTTCATATTGTTTACGTTTATTTGTAGATGGGTGAATGTAGTGATCCATTGTTTGGGTGTGGTACCTAATTGCGAATTGCACAGGGTTAATGCTCTACCCCTTACGAATTTCAGGACCTCTTGCTTTCTGGGACATGAGTGAAATCACATGTCTCACATTGAACTTAGGGGCGGTTTTTCGGGTTTTCGAGAATTCAGGTTCTTGGGTTTGATAGGTCAACGTCTAATGTACACTGACCCCTCCACATTTTGTTCGGAAGACCCGCTCGAGAGATACAGCCCTTACTACCCGGACATAAAATCGGTATCTTCTGCAGCGCCACCGTGTAACGTTGGCCATTTTTATGCTTAACACGCATCATCCGTCTGGACGAACTTGGGCAAACATTTGTAGTTTGGCTAGTTATGCATCTCTAGTATAAAGACAGGCACAAGACGTACTATGCGCCCAGGAAAAACTTTCTTTCGTAGTGCGTCGTTCAAGACGCATTACGAAGTATAGCCGAGTTTGTCTAGACGCATAATACGTCTTGTGCCCGTGTTTGTACTAGAGATACATAACCAGACGAACTACAAATGTTTGCCTAAGTTCGTCTAAATGGATGATGCGTCTATTGAAAAACAGCAATTCATTTCGTTTCAGTAGATTGTAGTAGCTCAAAGGCTGCCCAGAACGTGAATCTGATTAATTTTCACCCCCAAGAAAACATAGTACTTTCTGGACGCCACATTTCTAAGGTGGTGCCTGCGGTGTTACGCTCTTGGCGGAAATGTTTCACTACCTTACTGGAAAGTGAGGGTAACCTTGCTCAACCTTGCTCAACCTTGCCTTTCGAACCTGAAAAAAAAACCCTTTGTTTAACTTTGTGGTTTGAACTGGATGGTCGAACCTACCGAAAGTCGGCTCGTACATTTGGTAGAGGTGAGGATTATTTTATAGCCTGCGTAGCTGGCGATATTTGGGGGCGGGCGAAATAAAGTTTTTGGCGGCGGAGCCGCGAGGACAATGGGGAGGAGGACCTTGAAATAACTTCTCGCGGCTTTGTCGCCAAAACTTTATTTCAGCCTACACCAAAACTTTATTCCGCGCGCCTACAATACCGCCAGCCACGCAGGCTAATTATTTTATTCTATTATAGATAATCTGAAGGCAGATTGTTTAAGTCTGAAAGAATTTGAAGAGCGAAATCCTGTGAAATGAAATGGGATCACTTGCAATTGGTGCTAGCCAAAGAATTGCGCGCTGCGGGAGGAAAATTTAACGGTGGCCCCCTGCCGTTGCGCTGACCGATTACGAATGCATGCTCAATATACGAAGGTCTGCCCTGTATTTACCAGCAAGGGAGACTGTTTGCTGAGGGAATGCACAGGCTATACGCAATATAATGGCCACGAACGGAACCAGCGAAGATATCACACCGCTACAAAGAGAACTGCTTTTAGCGCTAGTTGAGAGTGGCATTTCCAAAGACGCACTGCTTAGCGCCTGCTATGAACTGTACGCTATACAGGCGGAGGAGAGCTTAGAAAGTGCAGATGGCGCAAGTGAGACAGATCAACAAGGAGATCGACCTAAAGAAGACTCCGGCAATCATCAGCAAAGTACAGCGGGCAGAAGCGACGCCATCAAACTGGAAGAAGCGTCACGGAGAGTGATGACACAAGACGCGCGCTTGGCTACTGGACGCTTGGAAGTGCAGCAAATGAATTTTGTTGATCAAATGTTACGGTATGTTTCACTTAGTCAATGTCCATATGAAACCCATGTCGGTTAGTGAGGAGTATTTTATTGAAGATTGCCTGTAGAAGCTAAAAACGTTGAACTGGCCGCTGTCATGTTCTGTTGATAAGTTGATGGAAAACCTAACAGTAAAGCTATTGTAATACGTTACTTTCACTTTATATTTAACCGACCTTCATCCCCTGGAGAATGCCCTCATCTTTGTTACTCCCCCATGCAGCACGCGTCCTTTGCTCCTTTCTTCGAACGTGTTGTAATTTCGCTCTTTTGTTCTTCGTTTCATGGGCTTGATCGCTGCATTGTTACACTTTATTGGGTGGCACGCGACGGAACACTTTTCTTTGTGTCGATGGAATGTTCGTTTCGGGTCACTTGGTTTGTAAAAATATAGACTTGACTTCTAAGCGTCGCATCCTGCACATAGCTTGGCTTTAACTCACGCCGAAGATGTTCAACAACGCCTCTTTCCACTCAATGTGTTAACATTCGATTTAAGCTTCACTGGTACCGCCAAATCTCGAATTTAAACGGACTTAATTCAAAGAGAACTCAGTTGTGTGAAACGAACTTGTAATAAGGTCGCTTTGCATTATTTATGAAATCTATTCCCAACTTATATTGTGTTGTGAATATAAAATCCATCGCGTTAATCATTTGCTCGGGTCCATCATAAAGGAAAGACGATTAAATATTAACTTCAATAACGCAAAGGAAGTGATAGTTCAGAGCATGAATATTCTAGTATTTGGTGAAGCCTGGTGAAGTGATATGACTCGCTGTTGTTTATTTGAAGCCTTTACCGTTCTTTTCTTCCGTGCACAGTTAGGTTTCTTTGTCGATTGCTTCATCGTTGACAGACAAGAAAAGAGTAATAATTAGGAGTCTTTCTTTGGTTTGAAACAATGTGCTCCTCGCATAATTGTTGATCGTAATTCTTAACGGTAGTGAAACAGCGTGAACGAAATCGTTAAGTCCTTGTCTTCAATTTTCGAATGATTCATGAAAGTAGATCTGCTTTTCGTAAGCGCCGCGCCATTCCTTTTCACGCCTTTTGAAATATTATCTCACATGGCCATGAGAGAATTCCATGGTCGTCAAATTTTTATTGAAGACAATCGCAAAATAATGGCGCTTTACAATGTGTATGCTTCTGCAGAGGTTGATTTAGCGCGTCGTGAAAAAACCATTATAACTTGGTTTCCTCGCAGCCTATTTATTTCGTTTTAGCGAGATCGAAAGTAACAGAACCAAAGCAATCATGCTCTCAACCGGAAGCGTGAATGTTTTATTGTTTATTTTTATTCTCCTACGAGTGAAACAAGTTTGTTCGTGTGAAATCATGAAAAAAGCTTCTTAATATGAGCGAAAGAAACACATTTTGCGGAAAGTGTTCTCGCTCCACACAGATGAGGTGACTACACTAAGTAAGTAAGTATCATGAACATCCCTGGTTCAACATAATTTTTGTCTGATGATTTGAATCATGATTCCAGTTTCTTCTTGGACTTTGCCAGATATGTTTTTACTTTGATATAAGCAATTGTTAAACGGATTCAATTTCAATATCTCGTTTGCTAAATTCCGTTAATGATGAAAAATTAACAGACAGACTTTTTAGGAGTATATTTATAGAAAGCCGTAACTGTGTTTTGTTTTGTTTTGTTTTGTTTTGTTGTGTTTTTTCAGTTTTTGTCTTAGTGTGGTGCCAAATTCTTAGAACTCACGTGAAGGGCCTACATCAATCATTTAAATGCTGGGTACTAAAAAGCATAACTGTTACTTTTTGCTCATCTAGAATGGACCCATGGCAAGCAGCCAAGCTGATCAAAATGTACATGCAGCAACACAACATTCCACAGCGAGAGGTTGTAGAATGCACAGGGCTGAACCAGAGTCACCTCTCACAGCACCTGAACAAGGGCACACCCATGAAAACCAATAAAAGAGCCGCTCTCTATACATGGTTTGAGAACAAGAGGAAAGAAGTTATCGAACGTAAGGAAACTTTATGTTACCATTAGTCTCCTTATGCTTTGATAAGAGTGATAAATTTCCCTCTAACTATAGGAGAATTAAACCTTTGCAATGTCTTCTTCTTCTTCTCTCCACCCAGGTTTATAAATGGGTACCGGCAAACTTAATGCTGGGGGTAACCCTGTGATGGACTAGCATCCCATCCAGGGGGGAGTAGAAATACTCCTAGTCGCTTCATGCTACAGAAACCAGGATAAGCTCCAGCCTGATGGGCCACTTGGCTCGCATGCAGACTTTACCTACCTTACCTAATGTCTTCTTACTAATTACAATAGAATACAATACTCCTGGGAAGCGACAAGTCACCGAGATTGAAGGCCCTGAAGATAGTCCATCAAAGAAACCAAGAAGAAACAGATTTAAATGGGGACCAGCCTCCACTGGTATCCTATACCAGTCATATGAGGACCAGAAGAATCCTTCAAAAGAAGAAAGGTAACAACATTACTTTAACAGCTATACATTCTTAATGTTTGCAGACCTTATAAGTGAAGGGATGTGGAAAGAAGAGGTACCCAATGACTACAATGTAACAGGGGCAGATCCAGGATTTTTCGTAGGAGGGGGTGCACCACCAAGGAATGGCCTAACTGACTGGTGAGGTAAACCAATTCAAAGGTGGACTTAAACACGAACTTGAAAACGGTTTATTTTAGCACATCGACAGCACGGATTCTTGGAAAGGGTGCTTAGGTTTTAAAAAGAAGAAGAAGAGCGAGAACAAAAAAAAAAAAAATCAACCAAAGTGATATCGAACCACCTTCTGGTGATTTAGTGACCGGACCGCAGCGCAGCGCGTTAATCGCTTGCACTAACAAAGCAGCGTTGTCAGATCGGTCCAATTATTTGTTTATTATACTTGTTTCAGCTCCATCAACTGGCGGCTAAAGTGACGCTACGCTGATTTCATTGTTCAGCGAAACAAAAGACTTCTTTTGTTTCTCGATCTCCAAAAGATGCCGCAGGAAAATGGAGTTTTTTTTGCACACATTATTTCTCGAAAACGAAGAGCAAACCAGCGAAAAAAAATACAGGGTGATGTTTTTCTATTAAAATGAAAACCACTTGCAAAAATTCAGGCACTTTTGAGGAAAAAAAAACACACAAAATCGTCACTTAGCATGGTTTTGCACTCACCCCCTCAATTTTAAAAGCAAGTACAAGGAGGCTTCATCTTAGGGGGGGGGATGCACACCCCCTGCACCCTCCCCCTAGATCCGCCCCTGTGTAACATATGCTGCCATAATCGCTTCCGTGCTTTAATTTAAAGGGTTAAAGTAAGAATTAAAGAAAGTGACCTGCATTTTTCAAGGTTTCTTACATCATGGTTTAATTCATTGCTAGCTAGTTTGACTCAGTATGTGTAAACGTTCCCTTTCAGGGAATCTTTGGTTGAAGCTTGTAACAGGGCAGAGTGCACCCAGAGGGGTGTCCCTTATGACAATGTAGAGGGACTGGGTCCAAACCTAGTGACAGAGAGCCGCGTTTATAACTGGTTTGCCAACAGACGCAAGGAAGAAACATTCAGGTTAAAGCTGGCAATTGATGCTGCAAATTACCCAGAAACCCCAGTTACTGCACAAGGTGAGTCTGCTTGGAGAAGTTAATATTATTTTGTTAAAAACCTGAAGTGAATGCTTCATCTCTTGCAGGTCAAGTGGCAGTGTCTCAACCACTAGCATCTCCAAGTGTCAACACTGTAATGTGTACAACTCCAAATACAGTCATACCACCATTGACCCCTCACCCCACACCTACTACCTCGGGCACTGCCATTCCTAAGGTGGCACCTCTACAGGCATCACTCTCAAATCCTTCTGGAATATCCAACCCTGCCGTAACAACAGAACATATGCAACAACTGCCGGTGGCTGCAAGCCATATTAGCCATGCTCAGCAGATGGTTCCTGGACAGCATGTTGGGGTTCACATGAGTCAACAACAGGGAATGCCATCCATGGGAAACTTTGTCCCTGGATTTCCTGCTCAACAAATGCCACTGAATTTAACTATGATGCAGCCTGCAACAGGAGTCCAAGCTCCTACGTGTCAAGTAGCAGTGCAGCCTCAAATGATGCCTGTTAGTAGCATGGCTAATCATCAGCATCCAATGGTACCAGGAATTGGCCAAATGCCGGTTATTGTGTCAGTACAGCCAGGAATGGATGGTTTACAGCATGGACTGCCACATCTTCCTGAAAATATTACACAAATGACTGGAGGAACACCGCTAGTTCAAATGCATCCCATTCCCTTGACAACACTTCCTCTGCCACCACCTCTACAGCCAATCACATGCAGTGATATGTCATTACCTCCACCTCTTCAGCCTTTGTCTGTGATGTCAACAATGGTGCCTATACCTGGACAGGTGCCAATAAATGTCAGTGCTCCACTACCCAGCAGTGGAAGCAATCAAATCACAGCACAGACTCATCCACAGCCTCCAATATATGAGGTGAAACTTGAAAAAACTGACTCTAGTACCATTGCCATTACAGCATCTCCGGATAAGACTAAGGCAGAGGCAAAATGTGATAGAGTCAAAGTGGAAAATGGTGATGAAGACACAATCATAGCAGAAAATGTAACAATAATGACCGAAACTGAGGAGCAGAACAGTGAAAGTTCCAAACCAGCAAAGAGCAATTATGAAAAGGACAGAAAATGCTCTGGTGCTGGAGACATGACGGAACCAACTCCACCTGCAAGCACTGTCCTACATCAGTGTGTCACTCACTCTAATGGGAAGTGTTCGTGAAACTGTTTGAATCAGCTTCCTCAGGTCAGGTGTGGTTGGAGAAGGTGGGGAGTAAATATGCAAACTGGGAAGTAAATATGCAAACTGTGCAAAGGTAACTTTTTAGCTTAGCCTTCAAGTTACTTTTTTCACCTTTTCAGAAAATTTATTTTCAGTCTGTTAAGCTCTTGACTTCTGAATAAAGCTGAACGTCCCAGACTTTTAGCTGGGAACCTTTTGTTCTGTTACAATAATCTTTAATGGACCTTTTCACTTTTTCCTCACAATATCAACAACGTTTTGTATTTTTCACATAAACAAAAAGACACATCCATGGGTCAATTCACGATAAATCATGTGGTGAGGCTTACTTTTATGTGAATGAAAAAATCAGAAAGGCTTGACATTGATAAAAAGGTCTATAACAGTGCAACTATTTGAACTGAGCCACTAAGAAGAAAAGTAACCAACCAAAACTTACCCTGGGAACAATGGACTAGTAGCTTTTTCGTCAAGGGAAGTAAAGGTTAGTTTGACATGAATTCATAAATACTTTAGACTCCTCTGTGTTATATTCACCCTACAGATTCAGTCCTTGACAGCAAATTATCATAATAAAATAAATAAACAAAGAAGTAAAGAATAATAAACTTAACTCAAAAAATGTAGCTTGAAAACTCATTTTGGGACAACTAAACTGTACCTGTTGAAAAGCATTACATAATTTAGTATCAAAACAAACCCATCTGCAAATGGCAAATTTTTCTGATAGGTTGACAACTTTTGAACTTTCGTTGGGTTTCAAATTTTGTAATAGGACTAGTGTATTTAATTAATTCTTCAATATTACTAGTTTATTTCAGGAAAAAATCACTATATCCTTTCTTCTCAAGTAACTTTCTGATTGGTTATCTCTTTTTAAGTGGCCTAGTTTGAGTATATTCACACTGTAATTTTCGACAAGAGGTCATCATTTGTATTTCCTTTTCATGTAAGGTTTTTGACAGTGTTGGTTTTTTCCTTGGTGTGGTATAATTAAGTGATGAATATTTTGTGTATTAGTATTAGTAATAATTGAATACTTCCAGGCACTTTTCGGTGCATGAGATAATGACCCTGTACATTATGTGGCTGGCTCACAGGAATGTCCACTAAAAATAAAATTAGACATTATTTTCTTGAAGTTTTTAAACATCTAATTATTGTTGAATACCATGACAATGAACAGACATTTGTAACTTTGTGATCATTTTTTAAGTTTATAAACTAGTTCAGAGTACCACTGGGGCAAGCCTGCAAATAATTTTTGTCTATAGGCAGGTCATTTGTCAGGACAAAGACAAGTTTTGACCTGACAAAAAGCCAGTCTGGTCGGACAAAAAAAATTGTTTGTCATTAGAAATTAAAAAGAGACATTTGAGACATTTTGGTATTTCAGTGTAGACTCTTCGCCAAAATATTGGTTGCAAATTCGAATAGCTTAAAAGTCAACTGAGTTTAAAATCGCTACTAGCACCAGCAAGGGGACCTTTACATTATGTCTGGTATTAATTTACCTGTTGAAAATTGACAAATTTACAAATGTTTATACCCTTAGTCACACAAGCGTTTCCAATGGAACAAGTTTCCCACGACATCTGGGGACTGAACGGGAAAAGGGATGAAACAATCTCCCGCATGGACAGCTTGTCAGTACAAAACCTCACAATAACATTCAGAGACTTGAAAATTGGCTGAAATGAATTCTTCNGCCAACCTGGAACTCAAAATGCACATACAACTCACCTATTTTTTACTTTCGAGAAACAGAGAAAAAATAAAATTTGGCGGCATCCAAGTGTTATGAGATTATCACACCAAGGGAGACACCGCAAAGGAATCAACTTTCTTTATAACAATAGGACTGTGACAGTTAACATGGAACAGGTACAAATTTCTGTGATGGCACATGGTAAATTATTCACCAGTGAATAAACCGCTTTTTCATGTGTGAAGTCAGAATTCCAGAGTTAGTAAACATGAAATTATCTCTTGATTTACTATATTAGCATTTGAAATTTTACGTATCGGTTGACTAATCCTCAAAACTAGCAGCAGATATAATATTTTTTCGTGGAGTATTTTTTATCTTAAAGATTACCTTAAGATTTATCCAACCGCTTAAAAAAGTAAAATTATGCAAAATGGCAAATTTTCCCCTTACTGACACCTTAGCTGATCAGCCAAGCTTAGCTGTAAATCAGAAAAATTATTGTTCCAGAATTGATTTGTAAATTAATTCTACCTTTCCTTTTTCAATCTTGTATTACAAATAGACTTGACATGCTAGGCTGGAGACTGACTGAAAACCCTAATGGTTCATTTTGCTTTCAGAATCAATGATAACTACGGTGTTGAATAATTACTTTTATTATCCAACTGCAGCCAATACCGTCCAAATATGGTGCAAAATGAGTACAAACATACAGCGATATTGTAATGTTTTTTTAATAAATTTATTTCATCTACAACAAATTACTTCAGAATAAGGTACTAAAAACAACTAAAAGAAATATGAAACTACTTACAATACGATTACACTAACAAAACGATACTAATGCTACTAAGAGCAACACTAATATTACAATACAATACAATTACTTACAAATTGATAAATTTAATTACATTTTTTACAAATGGATAGTAACAATATTTGCAGTTGCACAGCTAGCCTCCAATAATTAATTGTTTAAAAAGTTGGACCATTTTTTGTTAAAAGAAAGTAGTTTATTTGTCGTAATCACAATATATTTTTCTAATTCAATTTTTTCATTAACAAGGGTTACAAAATCTGTGAACTGGGGTCTTTTTTCATCACGTACTACGTTAATGTAAAGAAAATATTTTCCAATTGCAAGCCTGCAAATAATTTTGTCTATAGGCAGGTCATTTGTCAGGACAAAGACAAGGTTTGACCTGACAAAAAGCCAGTCTGGTCGGACAAAAAAAACTGTTTGTCATTAGAAATTAAAAAGAGACATTTGAGACATTTTGGTATTTCAGTGTAGACTCTTCACCAAAATATTGGTTGCAAATTCGAATAGCTTAGAAGTTAACTGAGTGTAAAATCGCTACTAGCACCAGCAAGGGGACCTTTACATTACGTCTGGTATTAATTTACCTGTTGAAAATTGACAAATTTACAAATGTTTATACCCCTAGTCACACAAGCGTTTCCAATGTAACAAGTTTCCCACGATGTCTAGGGACTGAACGGGAAAAGGGATGAAACAATCTCCCACGTGGACAGCTTGTCAGTATAAAACCTCACAATAACATTCAGAGACTTGAAAATTGGCTGAAATGAATTCTTCGGCTTTTTCTGAAAGCAAGTTTCCTCTGAAAGCTTTCGAGGTCAACTGAATAAAAAATTTGCGTAATTATTTAAAATGTGGAATTGGGGGTGGTCGTGACTATAAAGCATGACCAATTTGTACATTCACGCTTTTCACAAAAATATGTCTGTGGTATGGAAACTATATTTCAACCACACTGGCAGATGTAAAAAAACTGTAAAGGGTTAAAAATTAAACTGAGTTTTGATCATATGGACTAGAAAAACATTTGGTTACATTTTAGAGGTTTTAAAATTTTTGAAAGCGATTGCATTCAGATAAACGAAATGTGAGTATTTGGGCTGTGTATTCAAGTTCCATAATATCTTTAATCGGGTCAATGTATTACAACTGAAAATTAATTCCACAACACTTGGTGGTAACAAACAACGAGTGATTACATAAGACCTCAGTTTTAAGTAGTTTTTCAGACGAACGTAATTCAGACTAAATGGGGCTTCATGATCTTTCACAATGCCACCGCAAAATGCGTAAATTAACACGCAGGAATAGTGGCGCTGTTGTGATGTGTTTACAATTCAACGTAACATTTGAGATGGCACACTGCGCGTGGTAAAATTCTCAGAATTAGAATAAAACAAAACCGATAACAATGCTTTTTTGCGTCGCATTGTGTGGCAGTATAACAAAATAACTTGTCCCATATTCCGCCACAAATTTCCAGTTAAAATATTTTTCATTTTAGCAGAAATGCCCGGTCAGAGTGTCCGACCAGGCTAAGCTTTTACCTGTCAAAACCTCAAATTTACCGGAAAATTGTTCGATGACCAACTGTTATTTGCAGGCTTGAATTATGATCAAATGATTTAGGGTTAAACTGGACGATGTGTATCTTAAAACACCATTAATTTTATAATTTTGTTTTGCTCCAAAGCAATGTTTCCTCTGCATGTAGCATTGTACCACTTTGTAAATTTATTCCAAAAGGATTTAGCGATTGGACATTCCACAATTAAATGGAGTGGTGTCTGATCAATGTCGTGACATTAAGGACAATCTGGTTGCTGTTCCTTTTTTGTCTTGTACCGAATTTTACTTGTATAGAGAATATTATGAACTATTTTATATTGAAACACAGATAATTTTACCTCATTTGTGACACGAAAAGGAAGCGAGATGTTTTTGTCTTTCTTGAAAGATAAACCCACGTTCAATGAGTTTTCTTTCTGCAGTTGGAGGAGGGAAGTGCTGGTGATTGAGTAAAGTATTGTAAATTGTTTTGCATGTGAGCTTTTCGATAGCAAGTAGTATGTATTCAGTTGATGGTAGAAGACATTCCTGCTTTAGCATAGTTTTCCATTCCTGTGGTATTGCAGATAGAAGACTGTAATACTGTAGAAAATTACTCTTGACGTTGCATTTCTGCATGAAGGTTGTAAAAGTCATCAAGGTGTTACTTTTGTTGTCAAAAAGGCACAAGAGATTTTCAATGCTGACTTTTTTCCAGCCAGGGAAAAAACCAGATGACTTGTTTACATGTACTTGAATAAAGTGATTGTTCCATATTATTTGATTTAACACATCTCCTTTTGTTTTCGGGTTAGTGCTATTAATTTTCTGCCAGTGGGAAATTATATCTCGATAGAATGTTGGTGAGTTTTCATTCCGGGGTAAATATTGAATGTTATAGTTACACCGGAAAAGAAGGTTGCTGCCAACATTGGAAAGTAAGGATAGTGGGATAAATTTCCATGGTCTTTTATTGTTAGCTCATAAGCGCTTTACCCAGACTATCTTTAACGCTTTATCAAATAACGTAAAATCCAACATATTAAGTCCTCCTCCCTTCCTTATTTTTGATTATAGTCACTTTTTTGAGTTTTGTGTTCTTGTACTTCCATATGTAATCAAATATTATGTTATTTACTTTATTGGTAAACCCTTTTTGGAGTGTCTAACATGCTGCAGATAAAAGTTGGTTTGGATATTGCCAACGTTTTGACTATATTTACTCTTCCATAATTATATGGATATGTCTTGAGACAACCAAATGTTCAGTGTCTTTTTAAGTTTAGGCAACTTTTCAACGAAGTTTCTTTCAGTGGCAAGTTGTTCATCATGTGAAAAATATACACCCAAGGCATAGAGAGGCTTATCACTTAATTTTAGATTTAGAATGGAATCCTTCCTCTGATGCAATGATCCCAGCCAAAGTATTTCTGATTTAGATTGATTTCTTCAGAGACCAGAACAGTTTTTAAATTGTTGCAGCAGATCAAAGAGCCTATGAACAGACCAAATATCTTTAACAAAAACAGTTGTGCCATTGGCGTACTGGGTTATTTGTTATATATTTATTTGGATCAATTTGAATACCGTAAATCCTCAAATTAGCGCCCACCCCCCTCGAATATTTTTATTATCCAACTGTAGTGAATACCGTCCAAATATCATGCAAAACAAGTAGGAACGTACAGCGATATTGTACTGTTATTTGTACAGTAGCAAACCTGTTTGCCAGACAGGCCAGTGCGCATACGCAAAACTGTCACACTCTCCCTCTTTCACTGATAAATGTATTAAGTACAGCAGTTGGATAATAAATCACTTATTAGATGTTTTGGTGTGATATTTTTACT